CGTGGACGACTGTTTTTTTGAGAGGGATAGCAATTCGATCTTCCTTTAGTCGACAATGGGTCTGGCCGACGACAACTTCTGCAATAGAACACTACACAGAAATATTGCTAATATAATAGTATCAAGAATAAAGCGCTATAAGGCTTTGGCATTAACGAAGACGAAGGTTAGGGACGACCGGAAAAATGGCACACACGCAGCAACTCTTTCCGCAAAACAGACGGCCATTGTGCCGATGTCGACGATACTGGGACGTTGTCTGGCAAGGCAATAACGCTTAAATAAATCTGCTGCATACGCTGTTAGGGGGCAATGTTCGATGCAGCCTATGCCCATATATAGATGCCGAAGTTTGTGCAGTCATCGGTCAGTATTATATTTTGGTAACACTTCATATTTCAGTTAACACATATTCTGTTGTCGTGAAAATTCGTAGGGCGACTGCAATAGCAAATGTGGCAATTCTTGAAGTTTACCCAATCCAGCCTCGGGCTACAATGAAGTTACGGGCCACCGTCACCAAGGGTTAGAAAGCGGAACTAAAACCGAGCTTAAAGCGAGTCGAATAGGCCTATAAAATGTGCCAAACTCCGATTAAGACGGCGACATCCAGCTGAGCCGTTATTATTACCGTTTAGTTGCTGCAGCTGGGTCGGTACAATATAAGGTTTGTGAAGACGACTGTCTTCGGAGAGATTATAGTGATGCAAATAAAGCTGATTGGAGTGATCCTAATCGACCGTCATCTAGCTCGATGGGGCTTGGTTTTGTCGATGGAGTGATAAAAGGCCGCCCCTTTCGAGGTGACAATAATCATGATTTAATCGTCTGTCACGTATGTCAATTTGAGATGAACAAGTCTTCATCAAAGCAGAATGAAGGTTTGAGGGTTATCGGGTAGTTAAAAATACCAAACGCACGATAATCCGCAATAGGACACTGAGTGGCGTTTCATCATCTAGCCTAGTTATTGCCAGCTAACTAATTGGCCCTAGCAATGTCGTGCCAAACGCCGAATGCTAGAATGATGTGTATTGTTGATCCACTAATGGCGTCGTACAGGCCCAACAGCATTCTCAAGCCCAACAACACAAAAGACCCAGAGTATTTTATCAACAGACTATTGGCAATCAATAACGTAACCCTTTTGTTAGTAGCTACGAAACATATATATATATATACATAAAAGAAATCTTCTCTACTTGGTTTCTATCCTAAAACAAATTGCGGTATAGCCAACAATCTATGCACTCTTAATGCTATTGAAGGTCGCTTAGTACTTACGAACGAACGTTTGCTACCGCCACGACACATCATAGGCCTTAACCTTTATCTAATTAAACCTAAAAACGCGCACTGCATGAACTATTCTAGAATGTACACTCGTGCTGTTTCCTGAAGTTATGTAGAGGCCCTAAGCCATTTGGGCAGTCTAACGTATCCAAAACCTTTTTGCATAAAGCCATGATACAACACAACTTAGTCGATACGCTTCAAGGCAGGCGAAGGCAGCCACCATGTGACATCTCTGGTCATCAAAAGTTGAAGTAGCGGCATCATGCCTTTATTACACTCTGCTAGTCGATTTCCCTGCATCACACTCCCACGGCTGGCTCCACAGAAAGCCGCTCCTCCCGACTTTTGCATTCCCATCTATTTCCCCAGGGGGTCCCTGAAGGCTCTCGTTTATTGGAAGTTCCATCTTAAGAGAGCTACTGATAATATGCTGTATATCGGTTGCAAGGTCTGGGGAGACAAGTACCGTAAAAAAAAATACTGCATCTATCAATATCGGCCGACATCGGTGTGAAACCAGTGGCTTAGTGTAAAAGGTCTACCTTGAATAGTTTGATGTGGTGTACCCTATCAGTTCTACTGCACAATACCTTATCGTTGGAAAACTTTAACGCCGACCGGTATACTGATTGAACGACTATCCATGCTGACGTCATATCAAGCGTTTAGAGTAGCTACCGCTTTTACTTTATCTTTCAACTCGTTTAGCCGATTTTCAATACATAGACGTCTTCTCTATCCTTTATGCTAGTTCGCTTTTATCGACTACCGGCATCACATCTATTCTCTAAGTTTGTGTGAGGCGTGTCTTGTCTTTCCCGTCTTAGTGTGGGACCGTTCCGACCAACTCCCCGCCCTTAGCCCTGATGAGCTCCCGATAAACGCGGGAGAGTGCGAGGATTGTCACGTGACAGGCCTCCGTGTTTGTCTTTCTCATGAGAAACGAATCGAAAGAAGCAAACTAGATACAAAGAACCGCGCACCGCTTTTAGGCCAGATGACAATTGAGGTCGAGCAGCATACCCACAGCGACCGATGATAGCTGCAGTAACTACTACTACTACTACTTCTATCAATATTTCGCAATGAATAGAAATGAATCGGGGGAAGGATTTCGTCACAGAACACGGTTGTGCACTAACGATGGTGGTCAGTTAACGACGAAAATCGTGACAACATCCGAGGAAGACTACATATATTTGTTCTCTGCAATATAGCAGGGGCGGATGGGTATCGGCGCTTGTTGTCCCGATACAGGAAAACGGCTGGGGGAAGTTGCAGCGTGGGAAAATACAATGGACCCGTGTCAGGCTCGTGTCTGTCTGCTAGCCGTGAGCCATAGCACAAGGAACTGTTGCCGAGTGTAGCCGGCTCCCACCTCAGGAAATGAAAATGCTTAAAAAGGAAGAGGCGACGAAGAAGATAAAGCTATGGGTACATTAGCATTCGGTCTTAATCAGTTTAAACGCATGATAAACACGTACAGTCGAAGGCACGAAGAAAGGTACAACTAAGGCAAATGCACTAGTAATCCTTAGGAAAAAGGCGAAACTAATCCTGATAAGCAGGTACGGACTACCTGGGGACCCCGCGCACCGTTGGAGGAGAATGCAGCTATGGACTGAGAGTATGCTCTGTTCCTATTGCCGACATTACCATTATCGCCCTTAATACCGAAGGGCGAATTGATGGAAGCTAACGACGCCGATGATGGCACAGGCATTACGGAGCGGCGTCATTTAAACCTGATAGATAAATGTAAGAGCTTCATGTACCTACTCTCTGCTCTCACCTCCATAAATAAACACTCGTCACATAAAAGCATCAGACGAATCAAATGGAACGTGGCGAAGCTCCGTTATTCGAGGTGCAGGATAAAGCCTGTAAAAAGCGTTACTTTGTATTAGCAGTCAAGGATATAATCATTTGCAATACGAATCACTATTGAGCGCCGTTACGTATGATCTTTCATATGAATTCCTATTGCGGATTTGTGCTATAGATGATATATATACTGTAGATTAGTATTAAACATTCCATCAAGCGGTTCGCTGCCGGCACGAAACGAAGTGTGTCCACGTTCAGGTTTGAACCTGGATCATGGCGGTGCCGGACGTAAGGCTCAAAACATTCGGTATCAAAGGATTTCTTTTTTATGGGTGTTTGCACAGCTTGCGCAGAGAATAATGAGGAATGTAAGGGTACCAAAGATAATGTACAGTATGTCTCTGAATAACATCCGCATTTATTTTGGAGCCATGCGGAACTCGTATAACACAATGACTTCATGGCACAGTGACGTTTAGAAGACAAGCGAACTATTATCTGGGGGGGGGGGGGGGCAATGTGCTACTACCCTAGTAAAGGTAGGTCAAGATGAACAAAACCAAGCTTGTCGCTTGAGCCAGAGAGCTTAAAACTTAGCTATTTCACACTGGTTTCGCCATCATCAGTTGCACGCTTCGTGTGTGAACTGTTGCAATAGGGTTTCGTAGCTAAACTGAAATTAATGTATTTATTTCAGTATTCGCTCCGGTGCTTAGGGTTATATGCTGCTGATCGAACTGCCAGCGACTGATGATATCAGATATTTGACTTCTTATGTAGATAGACGTTGCTCTGGGTTATGTGAATCGGAGACAAGAGCTTCGACGTCTGAAAAGGACCATGCGGGCTCGTGTAACCGAACGAGGCGATGCACAGGCTACCCGCCATGCCGTTAAATCCGTCGAGCCTATACTGTAAACATCTGGGCTGCGGTGCATGTGATGCTGGTGAACCATTATCTAGCTGCAGTGCGGCCACCGCACGCCAGGAACTTGGCCCAATTTATCTTAGGGTTTCTCGGGCCAAGCCCATCAGGTCCACCCCCGCTGCACCTATGGGTATTTCATTATTGGCAAGTGATCGAGCGATTGACGATTTCTTCTGTACTGAATGAACCTAACGCTTAGGACCAGTCGAATGCTTAGAATCCAAAGCAATCATAGCACGAACTCGCTCAGCGACAAGACATCGCGACTATCGCTTAAGTTATACGGTCCTTCGTCCGTGTTTGCGGAGACTAAACGAAACACGCATGGAAGCACGCGTAGTTACTGCTAATTGTTGCCTAGCCTTCGTCCAATTATAATTGATATTGCCCATATTGCCTCTACGTATCTAGCCGCGTTGAAGCCGCCTTAGAAACATTTAATTCCACATTTGTAAACGACCCGCGAGTGGTCAGGTTGACTGTGATACGCGATATTGTAGTTACTAATTGGCACTCCTAAGAGACAAATATTATCGACTCGGCGGTTGGTGATTATATCAGAAATCCTATGGAGTTATATTTAATGTATGGGCCGAATTGTTTATGTATGTGGTCAAATATTAAGCAAGTAGAGTACCTACAGTCAAGAGAGACGTAACGTTTTTTCTCAGGTAATAATAGTATGCTGCGGCATGCTACCGATCGATAGAACAGATCGGATGTGTTACATCCAAAGAAAGCTTTGACTTACATTTACTTATCGACTAGCTCAGACTGATGCGATTCGTTAGAAAAACATTTTGCATTGCTCAGACTAAAGTAAACGCTCGCACCCACTAGTGACCCATGTCATAAATTAATTTTCAACGGCCTAAGACATCGGCAGTGCAGTTGACATTGTGGACTTATGGCTAAAGTATCATCTTGGGTTCGTTCCCTTTATTTACAGGTGACTGTGATCGAGGAGGCAATCAAGTACATCGATCATTTACATGAGGCGCTACGCAATAAATTCACTGAACGAGGTCTTCCGCCATCATTACAGGGTACGTATAACATGACAGTTTTAAGCATACCGCCGTCATTGGCCCAAAATAATAATGATTCGCAAAGTCTTCGTTTAATGACCCCTCACATTTTGGCAGTTCTTTGAGACCCGCAGTTATACTTTTTACTGGGCAAGCACTCATTATCTGAAAACAATTTTATTTAAATTTCAATTGCAATTCAACGCCATTTATATCCTTTCTCCTGCAAAGTTACTTGCGGGGACGAAGCACAGTTCCCACGGTTCTAATGGGCTCCGCAAAGGAAGCCACATGGAAAGCTTGTCTCGCCTACAAAAGTTGTTCGAAACTTAAAATGTTTTTCCTATGAGAAAGCCTACCCCTTTTACAGGGGGTAAATGACTTCGCGACTGTTATATAAAATCCACCCAACTAGTCACCATGGGACGAAACAGATTTTCGTAGAGCGCAACAAAAATAAGCACCACGGATTTTGTCGTGTTCGAATATGGGCATCCCCCAGCTGACAAATAGCCAATACATGGATGGCTTGACATTAGTCCGATTCGATTTATTGCAATACACCCGTTGAATTCTATTTCCTGCACAAGCTAAGTCGAACCATAGATGAGTATCTCAATTTTCAGTTGATTTTTTGCCTCTTCTTTTTCGTGTACAATCTTTCGTGTTTTCAATCGTGGACACCCGTTTTACTCAATGGTCTAGCCAACTACCCTGCCAACTTCGGTGACTCATTACGATTTGGTCGAACTTTATTCGAAAGGGTGGCATGATTCAGCTTGCTTCAACAGCAGGTCTTATGAATTTGATTGCCATAATAATAACGTTTCCATGGTCAGAAGCTGCCACTAAGAGGGGGTGCAGGAGTCGCAGAGGTCTTGCATGACATTACTGCCAACATTGCCTGGCAGGAACATCAGGCGAGATCTGGCGCCTGTCGTTTTAGACTTCCCGCTAGCGAGCGACGCATCAAGTGTATCTGTACATATAATATACGCTTATAGTTTGTAGTAATGCCTGCTTCACGAAGTCGTGACCTCCAAAGCCGGATCCAGGAGAAACAAGTCAGTGTGCGCCGTGAAGAGCTTTGATGATCGGCTGACTGAAGCTTAGATATAACGAACAAAAACGAATCGCTGGTGAAGACTGGTGTATGGACTGCTGTAGTAGCAGGTGGCTTAGTTTTAGCTACCCCGTCTTTACGTTATCAGACTGACGTCCGTTAAATCATCTCGATTTACTTCAATGCCAATTTCGATTAGGTACCTGGTTAGGAGGTTCCCGCAGGAGGGAGATTTTACTTATTTTTTTTCGTAGAAAAATCAAAAAATTAAAAAGAAAAAGTTTAGCTTATCGAATTACTTTCTATTATTAGTATTAGATCTAAAGAATGAAAAATACTGTATAATACTGATTCGTTCGGCGTTCAAAAAGTAGTAGATACTACCATTGAATTATGTAACGGATTAAGCAAAATACAAAGCTTTGGTCAGTAAATTTAGTAATCATAACGGTCTTTGCCGACGAGGAGGGGCCCCTACATGTATTATCTCATGGTTAGTTCAGGCACATTTGTCTTGTTAGCTCGCTCAAGATTACTGTGGATCCTAATCATTTATATACATATCTGTATGGTCAAAATGCTCACGTCTAGTCTTCCCGCTTTCCTCTTGTTACAGGGCTGCCGATAGATCTCGAAACGACTGACATGCGAGCTGTTGTCAGGCTTCTCGCCAATAACAGCAATAGCGGCGGTGGCCAATCGAACCTGGCGAGCAATTCAGGAGTTTCGCGGCCAGTTCCAATGGGGCGTCCGCTAGCACTGCCACCGCCAGTCGACAGCATTCCGCATCCGTGCGAACGTCAACGTAACGTCCCTTCGTACCTCCTAAAGATGCGCTTGCCTCGCAAACAAGATCATCGGTAGAAGCTGTCTTCGTGAATCCAGTGCAATATACGTTCCCGCAAATCGAATAGTAAAACAGAGAGTATATGCCGACGGAACGACGGCGCCACAACGTAGAGGCCTGTCGTGGAGTCTCTTTCCCTATGCGCTGTTCCGCTAATTAAGCAGACACCATCGACCATGTCAATGGCAATGCTTTCACTTGTTTACTAAATTGTAATTTTTTTTTTTGTCAACCTTCACGTCTTGGCCCATTTATGAGCAAGTTGGCTAAAACCCGATATTCAGAGCTTGACTAGTGCAACTGGGTGGCGCTTTGCGAATTCTGGGAGATCTCTCGTGCAATTGAGTGCGAAGACCTTTTTCATTATTTTCAAGGATTGTATAGTTAAACTTCCTAAATATCGCCGAATATCCCTAATTCAGATTTGCTATGAGCATTATACGAAATAAACAAAAAACATGGCCAAGTAAAACACATGGCTAAATGATGCAGATCGATAACAAAAATAGAATCGTCTCATTAACCTCTAAACGAACGTAAATAAAAACCCGTCTTTTTTGTTGTGATGAGAATTGAAAAAAAAACAATCAAAAGGAAGATTAGAAAAATATGAAATAGAAAGGTAATAATAATACGTCTCTGTAAGGGCTAGAATAAATATGACGAGTGCGTAAGCATAGATGTCTTAATATGCCCATTTCATGTCACAACTAACAAGTGTATGATGGCATATAAAATAAAGATAATATTACAAAAATAGACGATGATGAAGAGTACGGAGGGAGTAATGAAGCACGATATTATACAGGCATATATATACAGAACTACTTATATATATAAGTAGGATGGTGGAAAGAACAAAATGTTAAATGAGGGGCATAGACGATTCGATGACAGTTGTACATAACGAGGCTAAAATCAAACATCGGAGGGGCAACTGTGCTTGTGCAGATTGGAAGTTTTGCAATTAAAAAAAATACAAGATAACATAGTGGATAGATATAGACTATGGAACCGAAACGCAATTCTAGGATCAAATGTCGTAAAAGCAATAGGTACAATTTATAATCATATAATGATAACAGGTAATTGATGTCAAGGTGTTAAATACGAAAGATACAGTACTATATGAATACTGGTAATTATAATACGAATCAAGAAGGCTGATTAATAAACGTGAGTTTCTACGTGATACAACACATTGGTTTCATTGCTGTAGAGTATCTACGGTTAAGGCAGAAAACCTGCCGTCGATTAAGGGGCAAAGAGTGCGTTCATTTCTAGATGATCTCCTAAGTCCCCTATCAACTATATATAAGAACAGAATATATAAATCATTGAAATGCTTCTTTATTTTTTAAGGTAGGTATGTTCCTTCTTCTTTCCCTCAAGTCCCAAAATAGTTTTTGATCTAGCCTACCTGATACAAGATATGAAATATTTGTCTATATCGGTAAATAAAGTTTCCGTTCGGCGTTAGCTAGATAACCGGGCGCATTTGTGCTCCAATGGGGCTTTCTCTGTCATTTAACGGTGCTTGCAGTGGTATCGAATAGAAAATTATTCTAGCGTAATATTTATTGAGACAATGGTCGGGCTTTACAGTAATAGTCAATCGATTACCTTCATACAGAATCGTTTGGGAGCACTCCCTCGCAAACCTGCGTTAAAAATTCAGTCATAGTTCAAATCTATATAGTTGGTCTTTCTATAAAGAAAAAAAAATAGATAACTCACTGTAACGTAACGGCAAACATAACTTTCCAGCTTCATCTCCCTTGTAACATTTTTATTTTTTTTTGCAATTAAATTTATCGAAAAATGAATATAAGTTCGAAGGCCGTTAGTCGCGGCAAAGCCCAGAAAAGATGATCGGTTTCACTTCTCTTGAGGTAACTACAAGCAGAGCAAAAAAATAACGTACATGGCTATCTTTACCCAGCACGCGTGTCTGAGACGCGACTTCAAAGCTGGGACGCTGGTTTTTAATTGCTAGGGATCCAGATAGACCAAGAAAGGGCAATGCTTTGGTATGGTAAAGAATGTATAAGCATTTTATGTCAAAATGCCAGTACACGGACCGCATGGCTCCAATGCAAAGCATTTTGTCTAGGTATGGCCGCAAAAACACTACAGACATGTACAGCGACTAAAGCGCGATCTGAGTTTGCTGACGTTCAGGTTAAAGTCTACAAAAAATCGACGCTTACTGTGGTGCTTTTATAGTCGTGTCTTAGTGCCACATATATACCAACACAAAATATTAGTTTCTTTATATATAAAGTTCTCGTTGTTCTTTAGCCATTTTCATTTATCGCAGCTTACGAACAAGCGAGATACCTTGGATACACCATCTTTGGAAGCGATTCTTTCAACGACTTTTTGCCGACCTCAGCCCCATCTGAGGTATTTGCCTATCTGGTTCCGTGGTACTGAGCGAAATAAGTGACTATCGGGTACGGCAATGTCCAAGGTGTACGCCGGGTACGGCAGAGGCTATAGAGAGTAGGGTCCACTGAAGATTTTTCAGCACTTGCTGGGTTATATAGGCGGTAGACTACGTAGCGTCGTTATGCGGCCATATGTGCAACAAGAGTGTCGTAGAAAATCCGTCTTTTACCGCCAGTAACAACCTTAGGCAAAGGTGACTTTTCATTCCTTTATGCAAGCAGCGAAAGGCATTCTATAAAGCGGTTAGCGGTGCAACTTTCATTGAGTTTATGAAATCTTTTTTAGCGCATACAAACGATTGACAGCGATCATTTGGATCATTCCTAACTTCACTGAGCTCTAGGCTTAATCGCGCCTGACCAACTCTTCGTCTTGAAGGCACTTTTCTAGTGCGAAAATAGTTAAGAAGATCATATCGGATATGCATTTTTGAGCTGCATATCCGAACGCACTGAATCATCACTCCAGGTAATAATAGTAATAGTTTAATGAAAGCCAAAGCAAGGGCGTAAGCGTAAGGGATAGTCAAAACAAGTATCCTAGGAAATTTCAGCTAGATGCTTTGCGGCCAGCGTTGCCGTAAAGTGTTGGTGAGCGACATGTGTGCTAATCGGAGGAATATATGGTGGTCCAGGTTCAAATCCGCACGTATCATTTCAGGCCAAAAATTTCAATTGGCTACAGTGAGCCGATTCATCCGTCATTTTTAACGGGCATTTGTTCCTCAACCCAACACCGCATTAACGAACGCTGCGAAAATTCGAGCACAGTTGTAATAAGTTTTAAAATTCAAAATAAGTAAGCACTACGGCATATTACGATGTTTTTAATTCTCCAAGAACCATGTGGGCACACTTTTTTAGCCTATATAGAAATCTAGATAACACGCGTGATGAAATCAAGATACAACCTATTGGGGATCAATATCAGACAACAATGGTAAAAAGAAAAACGAATAAAATCGTTGCTAGACAGCGACCAACAAATAGATGACATGGAGTTTTCCTTCAATGATTTAAGTATTCCCATTGAATCCATTCGCTGCAACGCTCCGAAGTTTTCGGCTATTACCGGCGTACCCGCACAAACTCACTTGGCTAATCCCTTGCCGATGTATAGTTTTTATTGGGTAATAAACACTTTTATATACACCGAAATGTGCCATTTTGACAATGTGTTTTCGGTTCTTGTGGAAACTATCGTTAGAGTAGCAATTGCATAAGACGTTTTATGCCATCGCTATTGCAATACTGTGACACTTTTACCGTTACTATTCCTAACAAAGATGTCAACGATTTTTTTTTAACTAGCTACCCAATTTACATCCTATTAATCAATTCTCCCTCATTAACTGTTTATTTGAATTGAAGGGACGACTACTGACGAAAGGAGACACTCCACGCTAACGAAGGAGCAAAGATTCACTGGATTTGTGCACGTTTTTCCGTTAACAACATGAACAACAACGGTCAGGACAAGGCTACCTGGAAATCAGAAGATCGTTAGTTTTTCTTTAATTTAAAAACCAACTTCTTCTTTAATACATGTAGATGTTACACAAATAAAAAACGCATTGCCTGACAGCTGTCAGGCCTGCTCCGATTCATGTCATTCCTGAATTTCAATAATACGCTTCGCAGTACTGTTACCTGATAATCATATCTTCTAACGTAGTGCTCCGAAGAATGGCCAGGGATCCTCTTCTAGAAGGACATCTCCATAAGATTCATTACTGGCTAACGTCACACTCATATAGTTGCATAGGATGTGTCGATTTCTCCTTTAAATCTTATAACTACCGCTAATAAAAGAAAAAAAAACTATTATACTTTTTTGGCCATTAAATTTATTTCGCTGTACAAGAGTAACAATCGGTTTTTATTACTTAGTATGCTCATACTTTCATTTCTATATAGCTAACTATTACTTGAGTACCACATACCGTCTTCAGGATGCTCATGTTTTTCTTAGTTTGTCAACTGCCTTTGCTTCATCTTTTTCCTCTTACCTCGCCATCGGCATTTAGCTTTTAGTTCCTTCAATTATATCTGCGTTTTGTCGTCTGCTGTTGTTGTTGTTCTTGTCGCTGCTGCTGCTGCTGTCTTTCGAATTTATCTCTTTACAATATCCCGCCTACAGTATCTGACGTTTACCTACTACAGGATCGTTCTGCCGTCTTAATTCGGATCATAGCACCGCTATCGTCGATGACCAGGAAATGTAGCTCAGCTGATCAGGTGGGCCAATTTCATATCAGGTCACTGTCAAAAATTCGAATTCGCTTGGAATTTCGAATTATTTGTGAGTGAATCATAATAGTTGACCGGAGACGGCACACAATTAAGACAACATACTACCTCATTAGTACTTTAGATTGTGAAGATAACAAACTTATCTTTCTTTTGCTGGCTGTTTCTCTCCTCGTGTTCGGTGTCGCTGTTTTCCTTGAATAGAAAATGAATAGAAACGAGACACGGTCGGATAGGACGAACTGACAACGGATGTTCCGGACATCTTGTTAAAAAAAAAACTAGTTTATTGGTTGAGTGTCTGTCTACCTTTAGACGACGTTACGTTTCATTGTTTGGCTGAGGCTTACGCAGCTTAACCTTCGCGATATTTCACGACTTCCAAAACTCATACGCGATCATAGTCTAAATAAATAGGCCGATACTGTATTTGAATTGGTATGGCCTACAATAGAATCAGAATTGTAGAAACCGACTTGTTACGATTGTTCTTGTCGTCGTGGTCGACGCCGGCTTTGCACGGCCGATTTAGCACAAGCGATATTGGTCCTATTTGTTGAAGTGATAGACGCTACATGTGAGTTTAATACACAGTAGGTGATAGCTTGATTTCGGCCAGTCCAAGAGTCGCATTTTGATCCAAGCTAGTTGATGTCCAGGGGCAATTCGAGCTCAGATTTTTTCTTCAAAGACGCGTTGCGTTGGCCGTTGGAGTTCCGTTTCGTTACGAACATGTTCGTTCTTGGGTGGGTTTATTTCGAAAAAAGATTTCGCTTTTCCTAGTTCGGGAATACAGTAATAGAGGTGGTACGCAATCAATCAACCAACCAGCGTTACCACTCGAACATTGATGCCAAGAAACGATCTAGATTACCTCTTTTTGACTAAAGACTACGTTCGTAGACTTCACACAAATGAGGCATGATATTATTTCTATGTAGGGACTGCGTTCCTTTGTCTACGGCCAAGACACGCGTTGTAACGGTGCTTCATATTTGTACAATTCAGTCTCTTTGAAAGACTTTTTTTTTGTTGCGAAAACTGCGAAAAAAGTGAACAATCCAACCTCTTTTTGTTTTTTCTTTTTCAAGACAGCACAATTATTACATAGCGTCAACGTAATTGTAAGCGTCGCTGCCCCTATTGAAATTCAGATCAAAAGCTCTTGCTGAAGCAGTCAGTGGCTTGTATTGCTTATGCCTCGAACGCAGTGTGGCTCTGTATTTTATAGGATATGATACACACGTCCCGTGAAACAATCGAACCATGGCAAACTAAATACCATATGAACCAAGGTCTGCCATTAAAACGCTGATTACTGCAGTAAGACGAAACCGTCAGAAAGCAAGCGTTTACGTATTTCGGTTTTCAGCTTCTACTTCACCAAAACCATGTCAGGGAGACTGAAGTTACGCCAAGCTTCAGAGCGCACTCACACTGGCTATTTTGGACGCTGCAGATACGATGAATGCATGTTCCGTACTGCCTCCATACCGGTACTGTGTATTGCTATGTTACTGTTTCTATAGCTTTTACAGGCCATTGTTTACCAATAAACAACGACTATATCCTTCTTTATTGACTCCCGTTTCGTCTGATCGGCGTCAGCTCGTCTCGTCTGAGCTAGCTGGCCCTCACCTAAGACCTTATTATCCCTGTATTATCAAATTAGCCGTTATTTTATTAACGACCGTGTAGAATTCCTATTATATACGCTAGACGGTTTGTTCTTTTCGTCCATATATTTGCATTTTCAGGACTTCGCGAAGGTTCAATGTCTTGAATTTTATTGACTTGTCCTATTAATTAAGGAATCAGACTGTAATAGTGGCAACACGAGCAGGACTGCTTACTTCACATTAGATTAAATCTACTTTAGAACGTAATTCATAATGGACTGGGTTCGTTAGGCTGATGTATTGTGGTCTCAATATAGATTTTCAACAAAAGTATAACTCGCAAATTAACGCAGTGTCCCTGTTCTGGTAACAGAACGTCCAGTCTATCTGTCAATTCAGATCAATAGTTTGTATTGGTTACGCTTTGAACACGGTGTAGCTCAAAAGCGCTATGTATTTTATAGGGTACGATACACACGTCTCGTGAAACAATCCAGCATCGGGGATTAGGCAATAATGTCTCTATTGTTTAAACCTTAAAAAACGCAAAAGTCTGTCGCGGTTTCAGGGAATACGTTCCGTACTTACAATTAAATGTACAAGGCTTATTATTATTATTATTAGAAGTTATTTTTCTGTTTCTTGGACTTGTTGCTATCGTCGTATCCGTTTTGCTATGGCTTTACTAGAGTGTGTGTATATCTTTATATTATATGGCCTGCCGTTGGGAATATTCTGACTTGAAAATCTCTATACGTGCATATATATCTGCCAGTCCATATATATATATCAGAGCTTCTCAGAAATTATTGGCTCGTTATAAATTTACATTCTCACAGACTTGGTTTAAGCTACTGTTGTTGTTGTTCTTACTATCGTATCGTTATTGTTTCCCTTTTCCTTTTTGTTATTGTTAGCACTATATATTATTGTCAGTATCGCCTTGGTCATCAAGCTCATCATGATCTCATCATAAAATATCGCACTATACTGTCCGACATGATCTTCCAGCTCGGCGTCATCATAATTGGTAGTATCGATATTATCATCATTTCTATGAATTGCTCTGCTTTTCGTTCTCATAGTGTCTATTTGTCATCTGTTTTATTTCGTTATTCTTTAACCCGCTACCTGGTTAGTTGTTTACCAGGATTGGTCGACGTTGAACGAATTCAGCCTGCCTCGTCTTTTTCGCCTTCGGCCTTCAGCTCAACTCACCTCTACACCTGCTTTTGCTCGATCCCTCCAATTACCAAAATCTCTCGTCTTTCCTCACCTACAATATCCATCTATATATCGTATCATCGCATCGATCAATCAGCTTCATAGTCAGTCAATCCACGCAATCATTCCAATAGGAAATGGACTTGGCCACGATTGCCGCAGGGCTCAGGGTATGGACGCTCCATCTTCGGGCGATTCGGTCGACGCGATAGTTGACCGAGACCAAAACAGAGCCGCGTTTACTGAGGCGCGGGGACGTTGTTTCCTCTAGTAACCGGCTCGCTGATGACCAGCTGGGCCATCACCGGTGACCGTCTGTAGCCTGCAGCCATGACTGTCTTTATGGATACTGCCGTAATGCTTATGGCTGATGAGTTGAACTCAGTCTTCATTTGGCTAGCAAAGATGCGCAGTTAGCAGCGTAGTAAAAAAAAAAAGCGATCATATTAATAATGCTCATAGAACTGTGTTATAACAAGTCTCCACTGCTACAATAACTCGGAGCAATGCCGGTAAACATATTAATAATGATAGTGGTTTTTTTCAGGACACAAAATTTTGTCCGTAATTAAAAAAGCGAACAAAGAAGCGATAATTTATTTGTACAGATTGTTTGAAATAATTTCAGCCGTCGCGCTCAATGGAGGGTCCGTTGCCACCGTGAGCCGCTCGGTGCTGTGGCAACCTAGCGAACCTAGGAGGGTGGGGGTTGGGGGGGGGGGGGGCACCCAGCTTTGGTTTCCCTGTTTTCTCTCGCTGTGTATAAATATAGGTTTGTGTACACATCTGGTCTTTCGTTTGCTTAGTTCCTGTTGATTTACGGTTATCAACCCGAAAAATGTATGTTGTCCGCCTCTATCAATCATGTATGTCAATTATCACTTGTAACTCGTTCTACTCTGTACACAACAGTTAGTTCGCTGTGTTGGCATCTGCTACCTGAGGGAAAACAGGGAAACATCAGCGTGGGTATTACGCCCAGCAGTGTATATGCTATCTTGTTGATGCCTATTTCTCTATTCAGCATCCATGCTTCAGCCTCCTTCTCCGAAGCAGTCTCGACTTTTTAGTTTATGCAACGTTTCATTTTCATTCTCTCTTATACTTTCGTTTCCGTCTTTCTTCGTCATTGTCGACTGTTCATTTGATCCACTTCGTCATCATCACCAGCGCCTTCACGATCACATCTGCAGTTTCAGTCATCATTAATGCTCTTCGACTCTTCCTTAGAGAGGCCTCCTCAAGGTGCATCTAGGCCGTGTGGGCCTAATGGCTAGGAGTTTGCTGACTCCGGTGACTTGTTACCAGCTCCGATCCAACCTAAGCGACCATTAGCAGACCATCCGACCCCACACATGCCACAGAACGTCTGCCCCTGTCCAGCATGTCTTCATCCGTAATAGCGCTTTGACTCACTTCGTTCTTTCTGTTTTTCGCTTTGTCCGCCCCCTCGATTTCTAAGCGTCTGCTTAGCTCTGGCTTTCAGACCCCGCCTGTTCTTAAGCGATCGTTTTACCCTCAACGTGAACAGTTATCTATACAGTTCCTCCACCTTTTAGCCTGTTCTAGCTTCGCCCTTATTCTGACTTCAATCTCTCTTCAACTCTGTTTTTCATTTTTTTCTTCCACTCGACCTCGTCAATCTGGTCAGTGAGCAGTCCACTATCGGTTTGCCAATTTTATAGATTCAGCCTCCTTTAGCTACTGCTACCAACCTAAACTGAGATTTCCGTCAACAGTCATTATATACCCGGCAAAGAGAATTTCCATAATATTCATTATAAAGTAATTATCATTACCCTCATTATCAAGATTATTATCATAGCTATCATCATCATCATCATCGCTATAATAAGAATATCAAGAATCTTAATACAATAATAATGATAATAAAGATATTTGTTATAATAATATTAATTATAACCATCATAATAAAAATTCGTTAGATTTTCATCTTTCTTAGAATTCTAATCGTCGACATTACTTTCATCATAAGAGCCGGGGCGTTTCTATTTAATTCTTGTTTCATCACCACTCGCTATGTCGTCTCATTATGAATATTTTCTTTTGATGCTGTTCTCAGTATATTGATCGTTTTGATTGTTTACCAGTTACCAATTATATAAATCTAAATTGAGTTCCTATTATCTTTTCATTATAGTCGTCGTATGTAATCCTCAGAATCATTTGTTTTTTCCTCTTATTGATAACTAGATGTGTTTTTTCTGTTATTGTTATTATCTGCCCTATTTTTTGTGGTGTCATCTTCGCTCGCCTCCACATCTTCATCGCATCATCAACATCATCATTGTTATAATTGTATAATTATATATAATAAAACGAAGATACAATTGGTTATAACACGCTACTCGGAAGCATTTGGTGGTGGTCCGTGGCCTGAATGCCCACCAGGATGGCCCGAATGACCATGATGTCCACCAAGTCCACCGGGCCCCGACAATGATCCTCCCATAGGAGAGACACTGCTCATGTTACCGAGGCTGCCGAGTCCTCCTGCCAAGCCCATGGTCCTGCTGCTGCCACCACCGAGGCCGCCAACACCTCCAATTGATCCGCCAACAGGCCCAATCGCCCCGGACATACCTCCACCAGCTCCGCTTCCCAGGCCGGTAGGCGACGACACAGCCACGTTTGTCATCGTCGAGGACAGGCCCGTTAGGCCTGGCAGAGCGTTTGAGACGCTCGAAGGACCTGGTGGTCCTGGAGCCGTCGATTGCTGGAGTGACTGCTCGTTTAGGGCCGCTGATTTCTCCTGCGCGGCATCCATCCGAGCAACGTAGTCGGCAAACATGTCACGAAATTTCGACCACGACCTTTCCGGAATCGTGATCGCTGAACGAAAATTATTCTTCACCTGGATCAAGTCAGCCAGAAAATGTACAGTGCAGTAGCTTTATTAGTAGCTAGTACACAAGAAAAACTATGTTGGAATCGAACACCTATAGTATGTTTAAATTCCGTCAGACAAAACTATGAACATGACAATTCGCCGGACAGGCCTTTTCCATAAACAGGACGAAAATGGCCTCACAGCTAAGGTGTCCGTTGTCTTGATAGGATCAACCGTAATGGAAGAATTTTTGGTTAAAGGTGCCAACATCCATCCGCCTAAGCTAATATTGATAAAATCTTCGATCTTGTTTTATGTGACAAATGAATTCATTCGAAGTTCTTGTGCTACTAATGCAACTACTAATGAGCTTGAATTGTATGTTTAGGTACAGTTTGGCAAATCTCAATTGTAGAGTTTTCGTTGTAATAAAACGAAGCCCTTTTACAGGGGAAACCTTAACTTTGGCTATGTTTGATGTTTTTCTGGAGAACGTCCAGATGCTTCTAGGAGCCTGATAAAAGTTAGAAGAAAGGATTCGCTAGGATCGAGATAAGTTCACACTTTCTCCCATACACTTATTCTTCAACACTTCAGTGAGAGTTATCTTATATAGAATATGTTAAGATTAAAACATTATGAGTCAGGCTAGATAACACCGTTATCTTCAGCTTTCGTAAAAAGTGCAAAGTGTCGTTTTACTGCGGTGAATTTCGCATCATTATGGAGTGTCATGACGGATAACTAGGATTAAAGATCGATAACTGCTACATCCAATAAAGTAGTACCTATCAGCTAATCTATAATAACTTTTTTTATCACAGCACTTCAAATAGATGAACTAAACAATTGATTCTTACCTCAGACACTCGCATATAGATGCCTCGACTGTTTTGGCCAATGTCGAAATAAAAAGTCTTATCTTCCACGCGCAAATGTCTGCCCTCAGGCAGATCACCCTTGAATCCACCGTCATCGGTGCCATATTCCTCGAGAAGGTCCGTTAGAGCATCCCTAAATTCAATCATTCCTTGCGCCGGAATGGCGATCTGTGTTCGTGGGCCGGCTCGCGCTGATACTGTGGCTACTCAAACAAAGAAAAAAAACAAATGAACTTTTGTGCATTTAATGAACGGGGCAAACAATATATCTTCACTAAGAAATACGATTTTATCAAAAATAAAAAAATAGAACACATAAGGCAAACACTAAAGATATTCTCAAACGTTTTTTTGCTTTATGAAGGCGGTATCACTCTGCGTTACACAAATACCCTACGAATGGTCATCATCCGTTGTCAAACTCCATATGAACTATGATGGTTACATGTAAAGCTGACATAACGTGTGTTTCATCAATGATACTTTGCTACAATCGGACTTCAGGGAATCCAGCATTCGTCTTGTACTAGTACGGGTAATGTCTTGTACTACATACAGCTGGCACGTTCCATTTAACTTAAAATTGTGCTGTTTGAGTGATTCAAGTGTCTTCTGGTAATTTCGTATGAGGCAGTGGAATTATCAAAACAGAAGGAGGAGCACGCGCCACAGGCACAAAAAAAACGTGTACGTGACGCGAATCTATTGAAATATTCGGGAGGACCCTGTGATTATTTACGAGATCTAAAAAGATTAAATTCTTGTCGTACCGTGTCCTCTACAACATGCTACATACATGAAAATTACGCTTCACTACCGACTCAAGGGGCTGAGTTTAGGGGGCAAAAGACCTGAACGTTCAAATGAAACAAAATCAAACATTCATCAAGATTTATGACGAAATATATTTTGATGAAGGCACTAGGATTATACATTTCACACAGGGAATATTAGAGCAGCAGGAATATACTAAGATTAAAGCGCTATCTCAGGTACGAAAACGACCCCCTGATGGTGACCACGTCTTCACGCACGATGGGGCGCCTTATCACAAAGCTTGTCCTACTTCTAGGTTACTCGCTATCTAAATGGCTTTTTAGGAAGTATAGGCCGTGACAAACCGTCATTGGTGTCATTTGAAAGCTGATAATTGGCGGTAGCAAATGTACTAAAATGATTAGAACGCCTTCATTTAGGCTCAAGATAAAGCGCCTTAAAAAATGGTGAAATTTCTATAAATATTCGCTATATTTTATAATTTTACTGCAACAAAGGCAAATACTATTTAAATTTGTCAAAGAAAATATTTGCGGCTTATGATCAAGATGCGCTACCGGACGAAACGGCCTAAACATTCCGGCAGGACGTAACGGATGCTCCCCGTATGTAATCGTTGCCAAGTTGCAAAAAAAACTGAGTAGGACCGACACGTGAGTAGCCATGATATCGTCAAGGAATGAAGCCAAATAGAACAAAGTTGGCTACAAAAAAGCTCGATGTTTGTGGTGTCATACGAACTGATACGCAAAAATTAATCGGGTATGTGTATAGTTCCATGTACAGAACCACACAAACGCAATGAAATCGAGTGCTCTCTAAACCGGTTGATCACCGAGGCTAAATTGATGGAAAAACTTTGGCTACAATCAGACCGGACTAACGCCACAATAAGTGATACGATATATTAGGTGAGATTCGAATGAAATCATGCACTATGGGTTAGTGCCGTCAAAGCAGAACGGTTGACTTAGGCCTCTGCTATGAACAATTGATAGGATCACAAAAATCCATTGAAGGAAATCGACCAGAACCAGTAAACAGAAAAGGCGTCGTCATCCGCTATGGCAATGTCAGATGACAAAAATTTAAGTGAAAAAAGTAAAAACTTCAGCCGCAGAGTCCGGATCCTACACCATTAAGCTTATCGTCTGTTTCAGTGTTTGCAGGACTCGCTTAATGGTAGTTGTTTAGTTTCAATCCAGGGACGCAAAAGTTAACACCTTCTTGTATCGGAAGCAACAGAGGTTCTATAGTAATGGAGTTGTGGTATCACCAAAACATGACGAAAGGCCATCGATTAAAAGTTTGAGAATATCATTTTCAAACATTAGAGGTATTAGGTTTAGCTTTTGCCTAAAACAGTCAATATTTTTGTTCATAACCCAATATATAACATGTTATCTATAGCGTTTCTATTATTTTTAATAACGAGAACAACAAACGCATTAAAAATGATAAAAGTCGTTATTTAACGTTCTTAATGCATTCATTCATTAGCTGTATTACAAGAAAATGCTTGCTATTTACAGCAGGAGCTGTTGTCAAGCTGTTGATTTTTGTCTTCTCTGTTCATTATGTTAATGATTGAATATGGCTCCTGTTAGTAGTTACACGTACACGTACTTGAGTCATAATGTAATTTAAGGCCAAAATCGGCTAAAATAAAAAAAAATATAAACAAATTTAACTTGTTTTTGATTCAGATGGCTATATTGATTCAAATATCATGTTGAATGTGAGAAATCAGTGATTTATGGATATCTGATAATCTTTCAGCATTTTTAGTTTCGAGCTATCATTTATGTCCCAGTTTCCGGTCAGTACGGCAAACGAGCATTTTGAGATAGCCCCTATGATATATATATGGTGAACAAAAAAAGTTAAACTGTCGAAGGAGACAAAATACTAGTTTTACTGAAGTGAAATCCCATTAATGGATTGCACCTAGGACGGTCGCAAGTTTTCCCAGGTTTGCATTCCTCGTAACGACATACTATTATGTCCTTTATAGCCGATAGAGCAGAAACAATTTAGATAGATTTAATGGAACCAAAATAGACACGGAAAACTTGCAAAATTTAAGCACCGGTCATCAAGAACCGCTAGTGATTATTTAATAGCCACCTATTCTCTAGTAGCGTGCTTAAATACTCAAAAGCAAATACGCTGATAAGCCCGACTGTACACTGAGCGTGTACCCGCCGCCGTCTAGACTGGTTACGACAAGCGTCTGTCGGCGGTGACTTACACGACGCCTGGCCTCAAAAAAAATGGGAAGACCAGGTGATTCTTTGCTTTCGTCAATCCGTCCTTCGCCCACGGCGCCAGACGAAGGTGCGATAGGTGCACGTTATATACGCAGAATGGATAGACACCGCATATATTGCCGCTGGCTAAGTAAGCACAACAAATCACTGCTGTAAATTCTATTTTTTTTTACCGTGTATTACTACTACTACTACTACTGTGAGTTAGGGCCCTATTCTGAGATGACACGCAGCTAGATCATGCGCTTCTAACAATAAATCTCCTAATAGACTATAATTTTTATTTTTATTTTTTTCACTAATTCGTCTGCTCAAGTGGCAGAGTGCTCTTTTCTATGAAACTGAAACGTCAAAAGCCCACGTGGTACCCTCTCCTGTATCGATCAGTTTTATCAGTCAACATCATCAGCTTGATAGCCCCTGCATCGATAATCACCTGCAACAGCAGGCGGCTGAAATAGATGAAAAATTGAAAAAGAACGTAAAAGCCTAAGCCAAAATATATAAAAACAGTTGGTGTTTATTACTGAGGGTCAGCCGATAAGGCGTTATAAAGCGAGATATTGCTGTGTGTTTGGATTTATATAGTACTGGAAATAAAAGATCATGAACTAGAGCTGAGAAAGACGAAGGCTCGGATATTATATGGTAGCGGTCTGAATTTCGTACTCGAAAGTTTTTGTGCAGGCATCTTTTCAGCGCACTTTTTAACATAACTGCGTAAATTTATCAACCACGCTTAAGACTTGCGTCAGTAATCTGACGAAGAATCAAAGGGATAGTGGCGGGTGACATAGCTGAAAACATACAAAAAGATTAAAAAAAAAATCGGTACTGGTGTAAAGCTAGTAAAGGCTGTTCCAGTGTACCTTTAAAAGCATAGAATATTTTTTTGAAATTGAATGCGCGCTTGTACCAACTAGACTCATCAAATCGTAAAGCCAGTGCGCCAAATTTTGAACCCGCTATTTATAACTCAAAATTTACTTTGTTCAGCAGCGCAGAATCATAAGCATTTTGGTCAAGAAGCGAATTAGTCAATACTTTGACTGGCACACAGGAAAAACCTTAGAATCGTGTCTTTTTCGTTCAACATCAAAAAAAAAAAACTACATAACAGAATGACTTATGGTAGAGTACACTTAATCTTGAAGGTGCGGTGGTTGATTACTATTCGTACCTTTTATTGTGTGCTCTTTTCATTATAGATATGAAGAGCAAAACCTATAGACATGTAGGCAGGATAAGCAATAGCTTTCCTTATCTGATGTACAACTATTAACAATATGACAATATAACAGTATGGAGGGACATCGTTTACTAAAACATGGCCTTTTGTGTCCTTCGATGGTTTGTACTATTAACATATTTCGCTAGAAAGGATTGTCGGATATTTGAAATCATAAAACCCGTTACAAACCTGTCGAACATGTAAAAGTCAGTGCAGTCACTTCTAGAGAATATACTCTTATTGTGCCAAAGTGTTCCACCAATAATAACAGTTTATCGTAGGCACACATCCTATAACAGCTTTGCCGTAAAATTGTTTTTAGGAGTCACCTAGGATAAGTATCCAAACTCTGAAAGCTTATTCCATCAAGATTATTATACTGAACAGTATCAGTGAACCAACCATCATTTCTTCATGCACGATCTGCATGTCTACATAAGCAGCAGCCCAACGAAAAATGTACTAAAGAACGCAGGCTCTGACGAAAAGGCAAATGAGCCGGAATATACCGAGACATGTGCGAATCTAACGAAAATACCAGATTTCTGTTACCAGCCTAAAAGCCACCCGTCTCTCAAAGCAATTCGGTTTGTTGAGTTTCAATTACATTTGCCTTTGGCGCCTGCCGACGTCATCCTTGAATCCATCCAGTGGCTAGTAATTGTTCGCTTACTATTGACGACGGCTTTGCAACTGCATAGACTCAAAGCAACAGACAAAGCTGGTACCAATGTTGCGAAGACCGATATAGTACGAAGGCTACTCCATGGTGTAACCCAAGTGTATACCATAAATTGGCTAGGATAATTAAGCGATTCGGTGACTGGTCCCCTCGTTGAGCCTTAGTGCTAGACTGAACGCAGAGAGGTTTTTGACCAGCCCAAAAAAGCGCACCTGCTGGCCACACTTTATTAGGGTGTCCACGAAACACAGCGTAACACTCGCTGACCTGTGCTAATCAGGCCGACATGCCTATAAGCAATTTTCGAGCCGGATTCTTAAAATGCTCTAGCTCTTGTGAATTCTATTCGTGAAACAGATAGAAACAGCTAGAATCACTTCTCGAAATCTACCGACATGCCCGCCTTATTGACACGTATCTTTACGACGTATTGCTTCTGGTCTCTGGGCATATAAGATTCACGCTTTTGTCTGATTTTTGCCTTGATTATACCTCACACGTCTAGCGTTTGTATAAATTAGAGTAACACGGTTCTCGGGAGAACAATATCCTTTGACTACTCGTCGCCTGTTAAGGTTATAGCCCACAACAACTGCCAGGTAGTAAAAAATCGCAGCGAAAACAAGCGGTTTAGATTTTGCTTCTTCGAGTAACGACAAAAACATAGCATGTGGTGCCGTTAAGACTGCTAACAAAACGGATTTAAAAATGTTTGAGTTCAGTACGACAACGGTAAAAGACCTTCGAAGCTCGGCGATGAAATGGTCACGTGGCACTCTAGCGGATTATGTTCCAAACTACGTACGGACCAAAATCTGGAGTTATAGGTTCAGCAGGTGTTACGGAACCTTTTCCTCAGACGGATGTATATTGAAAAAAATGTACATATTTTACATCTGTTTAAAAAATAAGACGCAAGAATATCAAGTAGGACAATGTAAGGGACACCAGATGCGGCTGATGAATTAATACGCTTTCCGTTCCTCAGTGTTAACAAAACGTGAATTACTATAGTCAGCAATAGATAGATATCTTTTACTAGTTCTTGTATGCAATGTTTTTTGGTATTTTAAAAATCAACAACCTAAACAGATTAAATTGACAGTTGATTCAGGAATAGGTGGTTCAGGACGCGAGTAAGACTGACACGTGATCTAATGTATTATCTTACTGATCTAGGAATATAGCATATCGAAATGAGCAAGATCAATGAGCAAGTCAGCAGGACTGCGCATCGTTACGCCCTGTTTGTTTAACAGGCCGGCCTGAAAATAATTCGTAGCAATAAAATAACATTTAAGTGAAATCTGTTCATTTTATATCTTAACCGTTGCACCGAACACATTCCTTCGTTATTTGGTTTCATTATACATTGTGAGATTGTTGTTTCTATTAAGAAGCAAAAGATCGCTTAGATAGAGCTTGGTCTTTCGCCTGAAGCTAGACCGCTTATGTCCAAACACCGCCAAGAAATATATGCACTTGGCGGTCTTCGACATGTGCTTCACACACTCATATTATAAGTACGTGAGGAAAAACAAAAACTTTTCTCTTTTAACAGAAATGTCATGCCGCTTCTAACGTGGTTAAGAGATTGGTATCAACATGTCCACACGAATCACACTACGTTTATCTGCGAGAGAACTTCTATGCAAGGTACCTATTATAAGCCTTCGTCCTACCTTAAAAGCCCGTAACACTCACCGATGGTCTGTGAGACGCGTAGAAACCTTCCTCTCGAGTTTTCCTTGAGGTCAAGATAGTATCGCCTATTCTCTTTAACCATCACTTCACTTCTGAGTTTTCCATCCTCGGGTAAATTTTCTGGGTTTGGTGGGCCCAACGAAGCGTACAGTTCGCTGAATGAGCTTAAATGGTCCCGAAATTCGGCTGCCGTTGACATCGCCAGCAGAAGACGTGACTTGCGACCCGCAACGCCTACCTCGGCCACCTAAAATGTCACGGTTAAGTGGCGCCAGCGGCAACAGCAACGCAGGTAAGATAATATTGGTATGCATATGTTATTGATCCCGGAAAAATACAATATATGTATTGCATATATACCTGTCAAGTGGTATTCTTGAACTGTCAAAAAGACTTTCGACTTTGTTTCACTGAATTATGGTTATAAACTATAAATAAAGAAAATGAGAAGCGTGAAAAATACGAACGGATAATTAGTCGGCGTTCGACGATGAATCTCTAAATTCAAACAACAGACCCGTTCAGTTACGTGGCACTAGACCATGATTGGTATCATTTGGTTTTTATCAAAAAAGGACGCTTAGAAAAATTGACATAATCCTGATTGTAAGAGAATCCGCAAGTACCTAAAAAGCAGCTACTTGTCCTGGAATCTCAAGGACGGCTATGTTTGATCCATTGCCGTTGTCAGTATATCTAGGTTAAAAAGAAAGCGTTATAAAGCAGCGATTAATAACAACAACAGAAAATGTTTTATTTGTATAAACAGGATGGCGCTGTGGATTATACTAATTCTTTGTTGGGGTTCTTTGTTGTTGCTTCATTATAGAATCATCCTGACTATAACCGCCCTGTCTTCGGCGATTTCGGAAATCAATAATTAACGGACAAACACGGCATTATATACTATTTCAAATCATAGTATTACTTACTTTTCGTATTCTAGGTCTCCACAGAAATTCACCCTTACCGTCAAAAGGCCTATAGGGATTCGACTTTTTTTTAGTGCTTGTTTTTTGTTTTGTAAACAATTGTGGACAAGCACTCATTTGACACTTACCTTGATGAATCTTCCACGACGGTTCTGTTTGACGTCGAGGTAGAACCTTTTACTTTGTATCTGGAGCATCTTTGTCGCAAGCTCCTTTTCCGCTCCACCTCCGCCTCCCTCCGCGGCACCATCTAACCAGAAGCGTAATAATTGACGATCACAGTCGTCATAGAGAGAACAGAGCAACGACAGGAACAAACAAGGTTAACTTAGTGACAAACACTGCTTGCTATTGTTTAGCATTGTCTCTATTACACTTAGGGGTACGCGTTTAGGTAGACTCCTTAGGAAAAAAAAAACAAATAGAAACGTTTTGCGCTGATGACCAGGCCAAATGAAGTGATGTTTAACTAAGGGAATAGAATCGCATGTCGAACTTAGAAAATATATTTGCTGAATATTAGTAACTGTTGTCATTACCCCCCAAATGCAGGTCGAACGGAAAACATGCGCAATGTGCTATCAGTTTCTTCACCTGAAGCTGAGTTATTGATTTGCTATGCATACTACAGCCCGCGGAACTAAAGCATTACCACCTGGCACGGTGTAGGTCGTGATGCCTCACTAGACTGCTTATGGATGTAGTAGACTGACTATGATTCTTCAATCGACTACATAATTAATCGTAAGTCGACGCGGTGGCTTGGCACTCAGTAAAACTTCTGGCCGAAAAAGCTAGAGGTTATGTCTGGTTTGTGTCCTGCCATCGACATAGTTGGTGCTACAATTATCATCAAATAAAAGAAGTTGATTATGAACACGGGAGTCAGTCACAGGATCTTGGAAACTGTTGTTTTGGTCGTTATAAAAATTTGCGTTTGACAATTTCGTTTTGAGAATCGTTTTTTTTTTGTGTACTTCCAAAGTCGTATGAGATTCACGTATACAGAGAGTCACTACCAACAACGAGTTGTGGCTGATCGGTCTGTATAACTATCTACTATTCAAAAATTACCGGGTCCATTTTCCGCACTAATAAAACATCGAATCAGCTGATTAACAAAAAACATACCCCACACATCGAGGATTGTAGCAGCATTGTGCCAGTCACTGTCTTTTCGTGCATTAGCTGTCCTCGTTATGACCACAGATTCGTAAACGGGTTTGATCTTGTGCCAGATAGCGGGTCTTCACGCTTTAATGGCTACCAGAGATCACACGGTGCTTTGCTCGACCTTCTGACGCACAACACTGTTTAAATTAAAGAAAACACTTTTGTTGGCGAGAATAAAAGTAATTGATTTTCTTCTGCTCACATTATACTGCACTGGTACAGGAGGTTTACTGAAATCATTTACGGAATTCAGTTACCTAGATATAAACAATCCATCATCGAAAATTTTCATTATATCCTATATTTGAAAATTCGCCCCATAAGACTTGGTATACCACACCTATAGACCGATGCTTCACCGGATCTGACAACGCATTGTAGGTCATTTGAAGTCATGCTGCAATTATTCGTATTTTAATCTTAAATTCACAATCTCTTGTGTATACTTCTGTCTCAAGCACATTCCCTTTAGGGTTGGTAAAAGTATTTTTACGATTGAGTTCAGTGAAGCTTGTTTGACAATGCCGTTCGCGAAAACGTTACTGGAATTACTCCACCACTCTTAGGTCACTGAAGAATTAACATAGAGACAGTTTGTAAAGCGATATCTAACGTTACATTTTCGTACACGAACCCTATGATACGGCTCATAGCGAACTGATTTACGGATACCCCCTGTTTTTTCATCCTACCGGTTCCGCGGATCAAGTTATGGCTCAAGCACCATGGTCAACGTAAATCTCAAACATCTTTACGACACGACGGATTTCGACGTTATCCCACCACTCAGTATCGACTTCGTGCGTACCCACCCAGAGCTGTCTGACATTACACTGATACGAATCCAGATACTGTACTATGCATCACTTAAGACTGCACGTTTCCGAAATCGTATAGAAAATCATCAGGCAACAAGTCCAAGAAAAGAACGTTTCCTTGACACAACATGATAACGTGCATGAAAAGCGCCTTGTGACCTGGTCGGCAGAATTCCGATGCCGACCTAGCCATTAGTTGCTTGGCCAGCCAGTAGGATGGAAACTATTTCTACTGATGGCACTAGACTCTTCCACCATCAATGATTCGAAATAAGGCAGCGGTACAAACACATAGTAGTGCGTTAATGAACGTTGGTATTTCGAAATTAATGATACTTATGAAATGCGACCAAAGTTAATAATCCGTAGACAAACTGTTGCGATATAAAATGTTTGCTTTTTCACTTGCCATGTAGTAACCATTCGGTTGTTAGTAAAACCGTTGGCGTTCTGGTAAAACTGGAAACTCTGCAGTCTCGCTATGTTCTACCACAGAACCAGACGTAGCCTCCTTTTTCATAACGGTATTTTTTGCACCATTACGTATTGCCTTTATCTGTACACTCTCTTTAGGTGACCTTATCCCGTAAAGGACCAAGAATACACGTGATGTAGTTAAATGATTCCCATTTGTTGCATGATTTATCCATCTTCTATCTAATGGATTTGCAAAGTGATACCTGCAACCATAATAAATTCGGAAATTGTACAAAAGACAAGCGCTAACATTTAAAAAAAATTTTACAACCCCTGCATAAGTAGCTTTCGCCGGAAGATACACAGGTAGCACCAGTTCATAGCTTTCGCCATTCTTTCCAGAAGTAATTCCGTTTAGAAACGTATGCATACATCATATATATTATTATACATTTGGGGGTTTGATTTTACTAGTTTTGTTACTTTGAAGTAATGAAGCAGACATTCCTTACTGACACGCAACAACTACTATTAAACTTCTTATCATGGCAAACCGAAATCAATAGGCACATTTGCTGAACATCTTTTGCAAAACCGCTACTTACATTTTATTGTCATCGATCTCTTTCAGGCGTGTCTTTTGATAATCACCAAAAATGAACGAATAAATGAAAAACAACAGCCTAAATTCCTAGCTCAGTAAATCTGAAACAATCACATTTGTTTTGTCTGACACATTATTGTTGCAGTACGAATGGCTGTATATATAGGTATTGTATCAGATCGTACTACATTTATCCTTGATAGCTGATTTCGGATTCTTCTCACTTGGCTGCTAGCAACGGCTCTGCAAGGCGGTACACCAAACACTGCCGGACATCAATGGTCTGAGGTGTCCATATAAAGTTCAATCAGGTCTATTTCCTTTAACAGCTAATATAACAGAGATGGGTGACAATATAATGTTACATTCTAATTCTAAGAGTTGAAAAACGTACGCGTTTTACTATGACAAGATTAGTAGACAACTTGAAGTAGAGTAACTAGACTAGATTGAAGAGAGTAAAGGAGATTGAAGACTCCAAAAAAGAAGCACCGCTTGCTGTTTGCTAACAAAAATTATCACACGAAACCACCTTTATTAACCCTTTTTTGACCGCAGATACGTTCCTGACTAATTTATAAACAATACGTTTGCTCTCTCCCTCTAAATTTTTTTTTCGCAGATGCACACTATTTTTTTTTCGACTTTGCATGTTAGTATAATTGTAATACGTGTTCAACACTCATTGGGTGTTTGTGCCTGCCTGCCTACCTTATGAACGTTGCTAGCACGACAATGGCACGCGAACTGGGTATAGATTATGGTTAAGAAATGTAAACTCGATCAAGATGCCGAAAAACAAAGGGTTTCCCTCAACAATCTGTTAAAAGTTGAATATGCAAAACATAGATTGCAGCATAAGCTGTATGTTTAGAGTTGGACAGCATAGCTAAATGTCTAGATGGATGAAGACGCAGTGAAGCGATTTGGCTACGTTGGTGATCTGGAGCAATTTTATTTCTATTTGTTACGACGTTCTTCACGTAATTGATCAAAGTGAACACCCAAAATTAGTTTTACTAAAAAACGGACTCTAAACGTGGAAAATGCAACAGAATATGAACTTAGCACAATTCTCTTCTTGCTAGAAAGGTACCAATTTGAGAATTTGTGGTACGGGATTCCGGCTGCCTAAAACAATAGAACTTCTAACATGTATAATAATAGGGATGTCTACTGAATCTAACGAACTACAACAAATTACGGAGAGTTAACAATTCCTAACTTCATAACGATACTACTTCATTAGTAGGGCTTATTTCTCTTACTCACACGCCTGCGTCTTCTTCCTCAAAACAGTGATATGCGGAGTCGAGGGAAGACCCCGTGCCACAGATATAGGATATTTCCATTTGTGCATCTGTATCGCTGTGTATTATCTGCCGCGCAGATTATTGAGGAACCTGTTCCGAACGCTTGCCTTTTTTTTTGATGCGACTTAGATAGGTGGATGTGTACGAGTGTGTATGTGAAACAAATGCGATAGTTACATCCGTGTATACTTAACTCGAAGTATCTATTAGAAAAACTCGCTATTTTGAATAAAAGAAGAAAGTTGAGAAAGAGATTATTGAAAGATGGTACCGTTCCGACAGTCCATAGGACAGGACATTCCGACGTCACTATAAGCCCAGGCTAGTGTCCTAGTAATCTTTACTACTCATCTCATGTGTTTTATATTGATGCCAATATTGCATTCAAACTGCAGACGGATGGACAATCTAACCAGCCACATAATAAATAACCATTACATTTATTGCGTGCACCACTCCAAGTCGAGCATCTGCAGAAACTGTCGACTCCAGACACCTACTCACCCTCTATTTACTTCTTCACGTCAATTCAACAGAACGAGACAGGGCACCGGTTTTTTACACCGTGCCAAGGCATTCCCTGTCGCAATTACCATTTACCTGAACCTCTTTGTACGATCAACTAACTGTCAACGGCTTTTTCGCTGTTAGGGTTATTTGGCAATTTCTCTCTCTCTCTCTCTCTGATTTGAACATCCAAAGCCACAAAGCTCTTTCCATCTTCAGGCCCTTATCGCCGTTGCTTCAGTCGCTCATTTGCTTTTTAACTTGCGCCCGCTTTGCTCTGCAAGCACTCTCGCTGGTTCTGCCAATGTTCTCGCTCTTCCCTCCTCGTACCTCTATGTCTGCGGTTCCCCCTCCTCCATCTGCGGCTCCCTTGCCACTGTGCTCTTTCCTCGTCTACCCTCGCCCTGCTCTCCATTGCGCGTTTCCTCCTACACACATCGCCGGTTCCCTCTCTCACCTCTGTCTGGAGCCCTACGAGTCCTCTCGTAGGAGCCCGTCTCCGTGACACGCTCTCCCTTCATCCGGGTTCAATGAACTCTGCCTGGCCGTCAAATGCACGACGGTTCAGGTACAAGCACGGTAGGCTACAGCAAATGGAATGGACGGTTGCAAACAAATGCTGACGCGGCCTTTGTTGAATGTAGGTGCTTGCTGACTGCTAATTCCGGCCCGTAGCTGACGTTTTCGAGTTTTATCAAATTCACGCACTTATTCTTGATTCCGCTGTGGGCTACCAGGTAAACCCTGTTGACAGGGGCGAACAATGACGAAGACGTGGCCTGTTGTTGGATAGCTTTTGAGGGCAGATACCATCGACGATCACCAGCGCCAGTTGGTTAAGGTCGATGATTGACCAACATGAAACGCTGCTGTCTGCTTGCAAATGAAGACGGCAAGCAACAAGTTATGAGTCATCCACTTACTAGTTATTGTGTTCAACCGCGCACCCCGAATATATAGCAGTCGTGGAACACGGGCACTGCGCGACGCAGTGTGCGCCTGAGAAAAATCTAGCTGAATTTAGTTCTGGTAGACACCGTAGTTTGGTGAAGGACAGCGAGCAACAGGATATAGCCTTGTTGGAACTGAATAATGTCGTCACTGCTATATTACAATTTTCGCAAGAGGGCCAGCGTTTCTAGGTCTATGTATACTCTGGTGAATTCGAACCATTTCGAGATTCACTAAGCCGTCATGTTTTCTAGTCGAAGTGGCACTGGTTTTTAGTAGGACGTCTCTGAAAAGCAACGCCATGTCAAACGGTAGAAAACTTCTTGTTTTCTCCTGTGTGCTCTCGAACAATTACCGTCTCTTACAAATATTTCAAATCGATTTTAGTACAGCGGCAAAAATAAGAAACGAATAAATATAATTGAAAGGGTCGCGGGTATCCTGCCGGACGTGGAGCGCCTTCAGAACTTCAAACTAGGGCGTGAAATGCGAAATTGACGCTGATACTAATATCTGACGGATAGTTA